GTGAATGCCACAAATTCTCCTAAATCACTCGTACGCACAATTTAAGAACAAATCTGTGCGTACGAACGGTTCTTGCATGAGGCCCATTGTTTGTAGTCAACTAATGGACTGTTGACTGTTGCAGCTATAAACCACCACTCAGTGATTCTCCTCTCTGTAAGAAAAAATATTTACTTATTATTGTTAATCTGCAGCTAAAAATCTTCCCTGCATTTTTGTTTTGTTGTGATCCATGATCTTCCAAACCATTTAAAATAATAGTAGGTGCATGAAGATATTTTCCTTTAAAGATAACGGCTGAGTGTTGTTAATTACCATGGTGACCAGGTTTCCGAACCACTGGTGGGCGAGTTCATGTCCAACCACTAAAGCCACCCACTGCTTGGATGATGAGCAGGAGTTCTTTGGGTCGATTAGCAGAGCAGTCTCCCTGAAACAAATTTACTGCAACGTTAAGACAAAGACAGCTGAAGTAAACATATGTTGCTCAACAGCAGGTTTCTCTCCTTGATCCAGTCCTTTTGAGCTGTAAGGATGTGAAGAACTCCCACACACAGGAGGCTGAGAACAATAAATACAGGCATGTGAAAATGACCCTATTAATTCTTGTGTTTTACATATCGGGACATAAAAATGATCCGGGCTTTATCAAGTTCTAAAATTACTTCAATTGAACCTCAAATGTACAAAAACCCAACAAGTTGCAGCATGTCCATATTTATTCAACACAAACGAAGTATGACTGTTTGACTTTGACACTCGTCATGGAGGTTGCCAAGGCCAGTGTTCCTAACAACAATCCACACAGTGTGAGGTTTGTGGACATTTCTATTCTGTGTAACTCTAAAGTTTCCACAACAGGTTTTCCTTCAGGCTGAGGTCTGGACTTACAGCTGATGGCCCCACGTATGACTGTCAAACATGTTGATGTAGAGACGTTCTCCCAAGGACATTTCATACTTTATAGCTGCGTTTCCATTGCAAATGCCGATCTCAGCTAGATGAGAGTCTAAAGTAGGTTGTCGGAGGAGGTCATCTACATAAATAAGGGTTCTCCTTTCATTTGCATCAGGGCAAGCCTTATTTAGGAAGATGTTAAACTGTTGARAACACTGTTTAAATCACGAGATTTTCAGCATTTAACTAGTAACTGAAGACACATAAAACTAACAAACATGGTTGGTTAAAGCCAGCAGCAGCTCATGACTTTTGTCCCCAATAATCCTGTTTCCATCGGAGGGGTCTTAAACAGATCCTGATCAAAGGTGCACCTCACTAGCTACGTTTCCTTTGCAAATGTGCGCAAAACTTTGTTGATGTTTGACTCAGTTAATGTCTAAAAACAGTTTCGCAACTGTGGTGTTTCCATTAAGTAAGAAATGCTATTAAAGTCACGTGTGAATACGCTTGTTCTCACGATAAGTCATTACAAACATGGCAGCAATTGGATGTAAACACATAGCATGTTGCTACCACAACACTAGCGCTCATCATCAGAGGAGACGTTGGCGTCTTTTATCGAGGCTTTCCAGTGACAAGTCCCTACTTTGGAGCGGCTACGTATGCTGTGTTTTTGGGAAATAGTATTCGTTGAGTTTAATACTTTCTTTTACTACTTCTGTGATATTACTACTACTTCTACTTCCTGTTTTCTTCTTCATCTTCTTTTTCACCAGTAGAAACAACCGGTTGTTGATCACGACTCCCATGATGCGAAAAAAGTGTTTCCATTGCAGTTTTGCGAAAAACACCAATTTCGATATGGCCAAAATACCACCTCTTCCTAGCAAAAAACATTTTGTCGAAAAACAACTTTTTTCGAAATTGATGTTTCCATTGAGCAAATTTATTTTTGAAATTCTAATTTGTGCATTTTCATGGTCAATGGAAACGCAGCTTGTGATGAACAACTCCTCCAAATTCTAATTGTCCACATTTCTGATTTTCCGTATTAACCATGCACACTTCAAATTTCTGACCAGTAACACACAAACAAGTTCTGTCCAGTTGATGTGTCGAGAACAAGCTGCAGGAACCAGAACCAGAGCTGTGAGGGGGAAAATCGTGTCTATCTAACCTCACAGCTATGAGGGGAATAATTTTCTCAGTTTTTATGGAGTTTGTAGCAGCCTGAAGTGATGTTGCCAGGTTTCCTTTTGCTATGTATCTATGCAAGTCATATTTGTCCAAACAAGCCAGTCCCTTTATGTTAGATCCAGTATTTTATTTTTATACTTTCTGATCATTGCAGCCATAAGTTTAAACAGACTTGGTGTGTTATCACGTGTTCTCTCTCTAGCATCAACAAAAGCTGGTTACGTTCTGACGTCTGACATAAAAGGTGACACCTCCAGAGGTGTAACCAGGAAGAGATGAACATTATAAGCTCAATTCATTATTATCGTAAGGAGACGTTGTCAGTGTGTTGCAGAGTCTCTGCTCAGAGCAGGGCTTGTGTTTTGTTTTGATTTAGCTCAAGGTCTTACACTGAGGCCTGTTGAGTGCTGTATGAACCTGATTGGAGTCAGAAGATTAAAATAAAGTTTTAACAAGAAATCCAGCTGATTCCTGTTTATTCGGACATACCATTTTGAACAACGCATTTTTCCTACAATTTGGTGACCCCGACGTGATGGATGATTTTGAATAAGCAGAGAACATTGGATTTTATTCTTGGCTGTTGAAGAACCTGAGAAGATTTTTGAAACATCATCTGCTGGGAGCGAGTACAGAACAGCTTCAAGATGCCTCCTTTCTTTTCCAAAGAGGGTTTCTGCCAGCTTCTCCAAAAGGTGACGGTGTTGGAGCTTAAGATTCATCGTCTAGAAGGGTGAAGCTGTTTGGAACTCTCTTGGTGCCAGACCAAAAAATCTCTCAGGAAGGATTCAGCTCTTAGATGACAACAAATGGCCAGAGTTACAGAGAAATGCTTTTTCTCCTCCAGTAAGGAGAAGAAAGCAGCGACAGGCTGGAATGAAAACAACTGATAACGGTCAGAGAAATGAAACAGTCTTTCTTCAAAACAGATTCACACCACTGGAAGAAAATGAGTCTGAACAAAGTTCATTTGCTGACCTCAGAGAGGGACCTGAAACCAGATCCAGATCCAGATCCAGATCCAGCTCAAAGCCAAATCAAGTCCAAAGAGAGACTTTCAAGAATCAAGAAATGCTGATCATCACAGATAAAATGGTGAATGAGATCAGAGGCTTCTGGAACAAGAAAACAGTCAAAGTTCTGAGTTTTGCTAATAAAGTGTCTGACCTCACTGAGAAGATTCTGGAAATCACAGCTGAGTATTCTGCTCTGAAGACGCTCATCATTTATACAGGAAGTGATGAAGTTATGAACCAACAGTCAGAAATCCTGAAGAAGGATTTTCTTCTGCTGCTGAATGCATTTAAAAATCTCAACATCATCAGTGGGCCCGTTCCTACAGCCAGAGGAGGGGCTGAGAGGTTCAGTAGACTGATTGCTTCTCATAACTTTTTGGAAAAGTTCTGTGCTGACCACTCTGTGAGATGTGTGGATAACTTTGGCCTTTTTTGGGGGAGACAACATCTGTTCGAGTCTAATGGACTGACTCTGAATCGATCAGGAGCTGAGCTGTTGGCTTTGAATGTAAAGCAACACCTAAACCAAGTTCATGCTGGAAACAAATAGGAGAGAACAGCTGATATCTGAGGCTGAAGGACAGCTGGAGCAAACTGAGACACCGATGGAACACGACGTACGAATAGATAAGGAGATTGCGGGATGAACTTTAGCTGAACTTACTTCAGCCTGATCTCATCTCCTTTATTTATATGTTTGTTTATTTATTATGTAAATATTAACTTCTTGAACATGGACCTGAGTCCAAATTTCATACCACAAACGTAAACGTGAGCTGGTACGACAGTAAAAAAAAAAAATCTTGAATCCTTGATATTGCATTCCCTGTACATGCTTCCTGGACCTAGGGTTGGGTACGGAAACTCGGTTCCAGTATGGCACCTGGGTGAATATCCACGGTAGTACACAGACCGAAACACAACTCTAATTTCGGTACTTTATTTTGGTGCCTCAAAGAAAGCTGTTAGTTTGCGCCCTCTGGTGTTCACTGTTAACAGTGACAGCCTCGGCCCACAATCTCCACGGACGCTCTGGTACGCGGTTCGACTCAGCATCGGCCCAATGCGCCTCTCCAAGCGTGCTCCACAGCTGCACTGTCTCAGAACCTCCTCTCCGTTGGTTTGGGGAGAAGCGAGTACAGCACGATTTAACGTCTGCAGATTTCTGCCCGTGGATTAACTCACTTGGATTGACTGAGAGCAAATTTCCTCCTGGAGAGCTGCTTTTATTTAATATGAGCGCGCGGCGCGATACGACAACGTGGTGAAATAAAACTGCCTTTTTGGGAAAGTCAGAACTTGTAAACACTTCCTGGAGAGAGGTGAAGGAGACGAAGATGAGCAGATCACGGGAGGTTTTCAACAAACTGGCCTCCCATGGTTACACAAGCACTTAGCTAAACAGCACCGTGATAATAAATAAATAAATAAATAAATAAATAAATAAATAAATAAATAAAAGTTAAGTCTGAACGGTAAGATAACAATGGCTTTTTTATTTTATTGTTATTTATAACACAACAGCTGAAGCTGCTGCAGACGGTCCGCACATTATCACACTCACTGTGTGGAGACATGCGGACACTGAGCAGAACCTACCTGACCCAAAGTGAATCGAGTAGAACCGAGTTCATGGAGAGGGGCTGAACAGGTGCCGCTGCAGTTAACAGTTATATATTATAGTCGAGATGTCGAAAGCAAAATGGTCCAAAGTGTGGTGTCACTTTACAAAATAAGATGCAGAAACTTCCACCTAATATTTGGTGCAAAGACAAATTATTAATGGTTTTAACTAAACATGTTGGTCAAGTTCAAGTTTGACTTTGACTCAGAAATGGTGATTGCTTCATAAAACTGTATGAGTGTGTGTTTGTTTTATTTATTTATTTTTAAAGTAACGATTTAAATACCGTTTAGGAACTGGTATCATTTTGAAAGTATCGAAATAAACCCTTTCAATACCCAACCCTACCTGGACGTCCTCTGTGTTTCACACTGGACCTTAGCCAGAGTGGACGGTGCAAACGAACGGCTACGAAATGCACAGCGGAGCGGAATCACATCTAGTGTAAATTAGAAGTCAGAACAATGCCAGCACACCTTCTCAGGAGTAGACTTTATCCTTTCATGCAAGGCTCGCATGAAGGTTCAGAGGCGGAGTGTCAGTCCCCCCTCACTGCTTCCATGAGTTTTCTGAATGGACCGAGGTGGTCAGAACTAGGGATTGATATCGTTGACATCTGAATCAATTCAGTACCAATATCCAGTACCTGGGAATCAGTATCATTACTCAACGGTACCAATTTTCGGTACTTTGTATGTGTTGATTTTTAATAATAAACTTAATTTTTGTTATTTAACATATTTCTCAATATATAAAGTTTAAAAAATATCAAGACAACATCCAACTCTTTGTATTGTAACATCAATTGTTTAACTGATTTCTTTGAGGTGAAAACTCTTGAAAACAACAAGACTGTTTTGTCTTATTACACAAAATAATATCCAGCTCCACGCGTTTCTATTGATGTCATTTCCCCGCTAGAAAAATTGTGTGATGGAGGTCCATGGAAGGCAAATAAGTTTAAATCAAATAAGCAAAAGAGGATGGAGTTAAAATAAATAAAAGGTATTCAAGCTACGTTTTGAGCATCCAAAACCTGTCCAACGCTTCAAGTTGATTGCTTGTGCTCTTTCAGGTCAGACATGTTCAGACTGTCAGGAAGCACTTCTGTTGTTTTCCTCTGCCGGTCTCTGTTTAATGGTGGATGATATAAAGAAAGTGGCGGTATTTTATACTTTGAGCAAGCAAACTTTGTGTTCAGGAGATGAATTAATCCACCAGATAATTCAGAGGCGGTCTGTTCAGTGAGTTTCACTCCAGGAGCTGCGAGGCTTTCAAGCTACGTTCAGACTGAACTCTGTTTACTGAACCAGCGGCTGCTGATGTCATTATGCTCTTGCGTGATGCTGCGTTCAGGACAAGTATGGAAAACCCACCACTCCTACTCCAATATGGTCACAATTGCCCCTTTTCTACTAGTGCCACTTAGTGTAGTGTCGGTACAGTCGGTGTCAAAACGGGTCAGTTCGGGTGCTTTTCCATCGACGTTCCAGTCCGGTTCCAGTGGGTGTGTTTTGGGTGGTTGGTGGAGGTGGTTTTTGGGTTTTTCGAAGAAAAAGTTACTGCGCAAAATTAGAGATGGAAACACATATGCTGAATAAGTTCTGAAATTTAAAAAATTAGCTAAAAATTTGAATTAAAATTGGATGGAAACACAACTAATGTCACTGCTACAATTGAAAAAAAATGGCTCCTTGAGCTGTTGTTGTAAAGGCAGCTCAGATGCAACCAGTGACTCCACCCCCTAGCCAATCAGTGACGAACAGTGTTCTGATGTCGCATTTTGGTGTCGACTGGGACCGCTTGGAACCACAACGAAGTAGGTACTTAAAAAAGGGCTAGTTCCATGAATCTGACCTAATGTAAATGGCTTGGAACCGTACCGACACTACACTAAGTGGTACTAGTGGAAAAGGGGCAAATGATGCATTTAGGTACTGAAACATGGTACAGTTTGATGTTATATGAATAGGTTCTCGATAGCATCAACAGAATTCGGTCGGTACTTATAAAAGTATCGAATTCTGTACCCATCCCTAGTCAGAACACGCGTCAGTAACGATACGGGGCGTCTTCTGAAAGAGTCTTTGGTTAGCTGTTGTGAAGTGGTTTCTCTTCACCATGGAAATGATCCTGCACCAATCATCCACCACTGTTGTCTTCTGTGGGCATCCAGGTCTTTTTGCATTGATGAGTTCACCAGTGCTTGTTTTCTTTCTCCTCAGGATGTACCTGTAGAACTGTAGATTTTGCCCATCCTAATATTCTAGCAATTTATGTTATTTTTTGTCTTGTTTTGTTTTCACAGCTTAAGAACGGCTTGTTTCATCTGCACAGAGAGCTCTTTTGACTGTTTTCTTCCAAATGCAAGCAGCACACCTCAAATCAACTCCAGGCCTGTCTGCTTCATTGAGAATGACATACTGAAGGGATTGCCCACACCTGCCCATGAAATAGCCTTTAAGTCAATTGTCCAATTATTTTTGGTCCATTTAAATACAAGGTGGGCACATGTTAAGGAGCTGAAACTCCAAAACCCTTCATCCAGTTTTAACGTAGATACCCTCAAATAAAAGCTGAACATCTGGACATTATGTCCATGTCACTTATTCAACTATAACTTGAATATGTTTCAGGAAACAGGTAAAAAATAAACTAACTTTGTGGCAGTGGCCTAATAGATATGGACCGAACTGTATTTGTTCATTTATTGCAAGTCATACAGTCATTGCATTACTTCGTACTGTTATCTAACTGTTACGCAGCACTTCTACGCAGTTTCAAAAGTTCTACAAACTCAGGTTTCAAGCTTTTTTCTTTTTACCTGTAGGTAACAAGGCCCCAGTTTTCCATGGCACCTAAATGGGAAAGAATATATACAAGTCAAGAAATATCTGGCCTTTCTGACAGAGAATCTTTAATATGGAATATTAATGGAGATACCCACCAGCAGCAAAATCAGCAATAGCTATGAGATCAATTTTAGGCAATGGATAAGGAACACTGAAGTAATCTTTGTAGAAAGGTAAAGTCTTTGTTGCAACCTAAAAAAAAACCGTAAATGTCAGAATAAAGTTTGTCTAGTGGATCCAACGGACTGAAAACAAAGGTCCCATCATACCAACAGAACGTCTTTTTAATTTATAATGATCTATCATCAGTTAATGAAACATATTTTTTGCAAGTACAAAATAATATTTTGAACACAATATCGTGGTCTGTCAGTTTAGATCATTTCATCAATATTCTCACCTCCAGTGCAAATTTCCCTTGTTCTGCCTTCCCGACTGGCGTGTAGACGCGTACCGTTACACCATCCGTTGACTGGCTCTCCACGTGGTCATATTCACCGATGACAAAAGCTACAAGGTATGTGGACATGATGGGTGTGGTGGCAAACTTTACTTCCACAAGGTTTTCATCCTCTGGGTAGGGTTTTCGATCAATCACATTCTAAGAAAATAAAACGGAGAACAATGACTCAGCAAAAAGAAATGGCTTGGATGAGAAAACAGCAACAAGGTGAACAGCTGTAACATGCAAACATGACAGGTGTGGATTATGCTCCTGCTACGAGCTGCTGTTAGCGTCACTACCCCATGAGAAACTCTTCCTGATTCTAAAACCACTTTAAATGGTATCTACTGAAGGTAAACGATAAATCTGCACAAACCAGCTTATACTGTTTCCCCTTTCAAAACAGCCCACTGAACTGAATGCTAAAATAAATTCAAATGATAATCAGATCATTTTTACTGTTCACTGAGCCATTGCTGCTCCTGATGATGACCCATAAAAAAATTGACCTTGGCTGGCTCTTTGTGAGGGCTGCATAAGCATATTAAGGACACAGAGGGCTGCACATTGCATATATGAGGTGTGATAGGGCTACAAGGGTAAACTATCAGCAGTGAGGTTGTGGTGGTTGATAATTATAAAAGCAGTGTATTGAGGACCTAGATGAGAGTGTGAGGGAGCGTGGTGGCCAACTTCTCCATGATGTGGGCCCTCATGTGTCAATATGTCCTTGTTGTTCCGAGTTTGGAAGAGGACTGGTAATAACATTTCTGATAGATCAAAAACACAACCTACCACAGATGGTAGTGTTGATCTTTTAGCACAGGTCCCTGAATTCTGAATAGGGCTGCCATGATTAGTCCACTAGTTGACAACTAATCGACTATTAAAACAGTCAACAACTAATTTAATAGTTGATTAGTTGTTTTTTTTCTTCTGTTTTTTTTTTACTGAGTTTTTCTCTCCAAACTGCTTTGACACCTTCCACTGCCACATCTACCTTTCTGTCCTTGACACACATGCACCGTAGTGGTAACTGGGGTAGGCTATGGACGTCACAAGACATTACACAGACAGGCTCTGGTGTCATGGGTACCTGGCAATGGAGCTCAAAAGTGTGGGATCATTTTAAGAAAATGAAAGAYAAACCTGTGCAATATCTGCAGAGCAGAACTTACCTTCCACAGCAATTATTTTTAGTTAGCATATAGCTAAAATCTAACCATGGTTATATAATAGCAGCTGCATTCCGGTGTGATAAGCTCTTGGTTTTATATTCAATTAACGTATGATCCGATTAGTCGACTAATTGAAAAAATAATCGGTGATTAATCGATTATAAAAATAATAGTTTGTGGCAGCCCTAGTTCTTAATCTAATTTTGTGGATCATTAGTCAGATTGGAGTGTGTGCGTGAAAATAAACCACACATTCCTTTGCATTGTTGATATCCATTTATTTTATCCCACTAAAATGAAACTGTTAAAAAGAAGGTTCATTTTGAAGACCCTATTTTTTATTTTTACTCAAACTGCAGTTTAATTTTAAAATTAAAGCCACATGTTGGACAGACAGATGACTGAGATTATTACTAAACCTTATTTGCACGTAAAGACGATTTTTTGTGGCAGTGAATTTGGACTGAAACGACATCTTATATACCCTCTAAGTATATTTTATGTTTTGGTATGTGAATAATACATGTTATCAAAAAATGTGTCCCGTTTGAGAATTTAAACATGCCAAGGCTACTGCCAGTTTAAAAAGAAATATCAAGTCACTTTATCTGGCATTTATCTCTTGCATTACTTGGCAAACTTGGGTCAAGAAGCCCGTATCTATTGTACGGCTGCCACAAACGATTATTTTAATAGTCGACTAATCACCGATTATTTTTTCGATTAGTCGACTAAAAAAAAAAACTAATCGACTATTAAATTAGTCACCTACTATTGTAATAGTCGATTAGTCATCGACAAGTCGACTAATCATGGCAGCCCTAATCAGTTGACTGGCTGCAGGATTGGTGCATGCTTCAATCCCAAACACTTCCTGGAAGCTGATTGGCTCGTTGGTTGAAATGTGAATAAATCACAAGGCTCCGAGCAAATATAAACTTCCTGTTTTGTGTTAGTAACCACAAATTCTACAGACGCACTGAGCTTTAAAAAACTTGACACACATGCAGTTTAATCACTGAATCAGGTGTGTTGGACAAAAACCAAGCAGCTCTCGAGGAACAGGGTTAGACACTTTTGTACTAAAGCATTTATTTTTTATCTCTTACTACTTTACTTTTTACTTGTTTAACAAATTGCCAAAGACAACTGACTTGTTTAATTCTTGAATCCACCATTACTTCAGAAAACCCATCACAAACTGAAACCCTCTGAGCACATGACAAATACTTTCTCCAACCATCAACAGCAAACTGTCAAACCTTAACCACAAACACACTCCWAATGTTTGTATTCATACACTGTCAACCTCAAGTCTTAGAATAAATAAAGTCTTCCACTAAACCATCACAGAACATAAATTGTACAAGATATTCATTCAAAACCAATAATTTGAGGTAACACCTTCATCTTCGGAATTAAGCTCCAACAACACAAAAACATATTTTCAACACTAAGCTTTAAAGGGATCCCTGATTAGTTGTAACATTAGACTCTATTTAATAAACATATATTTTAACTGTAAAATAAAAACAGTAAAAATAATGTAGGCTGTTTAGTTTTAATAATTTTCAGTAAAATATTTTAACATGGACAGAGCTGTTTTATTTACACACAAAGCATTCTGGGTAATTGATGACGTGGATAGGTCCTCGGTGCGAGGCTGCTAGCGAGCTATATCCACC